CTTCCTGGAATCAGCCGCTGATCAGTTTCAGCAGCGGCTGAATCTGGACGCCAGTTCCGACTTACATACAGATTCAACTTAAGAACAAACCTACAGTCCCTATCTTGTACGTAACCCGGGGACTGCCTGTAGTTTGGCTTTTTGGTTTGAAAAGGTTGCCGACCCCTGGAGTAGGGAGCTGGAGCACATAACTTATGAGGAGAGGCTGAGGGATTTGGGCTTGTTTAGTCTGTGGAAGAGAATAGTGAGGGGGGATTTGAGAGCAGTCTTTAACAACCTGGAGGGGGATTCCATAGAGGACGGAGAGAGGCTGTTCTCAGTAGTGAGGGATGGCAGAACGAGGAGCAATGGTCTCAAGTTACAGTGCGGGAGGTCTAGGTTGGATATTAGGACAAACTATTTCCCTAGGAGGGTGGGGAAGCACTGGGATGGGTTCCCTGGCAGGGCGGGGGGAATCTCCATCCCTAGAGGTGTTTGTCTTGGCTTGACACAGCCTTGGCTGGAGTGATTTAGTTGGAGTTGATCCTGCTTTGGGCAGGGGGTTGGACTCGATGACTCCTGAGGTCTCTGCCAGCCCTAAGATTCTAGGGTTTGTCCCACTGTCAGCTGACATGTTAAACCTAACTTGTCCTTGTCTACACTGACAGCAAAGTTCTAGTTAACAGGACTCTTCTTCGAGTGCTTGCTCATGTCCATTCCATGGAGGTGCGTGCGCACAGCGTGCACGTGTCGTTGGAAATTTTCCCCTTAGCAGTACCTGTTGGGCCAGCAGGGAGCCCCCTGGAGTGGTGCTGGTATACCGGTCGATATATACCCCTGCTGGCCTCCACCCCCTCGGTTCCTTGTAACCCCCCTCACTGTTGATGGAACATGCTCTTGTTCTCGTAGGCAGGAGGGCCTGCGCGTCAGGAGGCCTACAATTTCACATAGCGAACCATCAGGTTCTGCTGTCTCGCTATGCCTATAACACCTGGGCCTCAATGGATAAGTTCATTGAGCTACTCCCCAGGGACTCTCGGCCTGAGTTTAGAGCCCTCTCAGAGGAAGGCAGGGCAGTCTCTAGGGCCGTGCTCCAGGCTGCCCTCTGAGGCTGACGCAGCTGCACGTGCCATGGCTACGGGGCTGGTCATGCACCGCAGTTTCCCCCTGAACTACAGAACTCCATAGGGGACCTCCCCTTTGAGGTCCTTCGCCATCTGGACCTGTGGTCCCTGCACCTGATGGCGTGGAAGCTCTGTGGCTGACAGCGGCGGAGCCCCTGTGTTGCTGGGAAGCGGGAAACCTTCCATTAGGGCTATTTATCTGGCTAAGTGGAAGCGGTTTTATCTCTGGTCCACCTAGGGGGGTGCCGCCTGTAGACTCCCTGGTCCCTCTGGTCCTGAGCTACCTTCTGGATCTTAGGCTTCGGGGTTCTCCTCCTCCTCGATTAAGGGCCACCTAGTGGCTATTTCTGCTTTTCACCCGGTGCCAGGGATAAAACCCTCTTTGCAGACCCGATGATAAAAAGGTTTTTGAAGGGCTGAGACAGGCTTTATCTGCATGTTCGGCAGCCCATTCCCCAGTAGGGTCTTAACTTGGTCCTGTCCAAACTCATGTGACCCCATTTGAATCCTGGATGACATGTTCATTAGTACACCTGTCCAACAAGGTATTCTTTTGGTGGCCATCACATCAGCCAGGCGCGTGTCCGAGCTGAGGGCTCTCACTTCGGACCCCTCTTATACTGTCAAGTTACGCCCCCACCCCACCTTCCTGCCTAAGGTGGTGTCAAACTTCCATGTGTCTCAGGACATTTTCCTGTGTCTTTTACCCCAAGCCCCATGCGTCGGGTAAAGAGCAGGCGCTACACACTTCGGATGTTAGGGTGCCTTAGCCTTTTATTTAGAAAGAACAAAGCCCCTTCCGCAAGTCGCCCCAGGTCTTCAGTGCCATTGCGGAGCGGCTGAAGCGTCAGCTGGTCTCTGCGCAAAGAATCTCCTCTTGGCTCACAGCATGTATTAGGGAATGCTACAGGCTTTTAGGGGTCCCAGCGCCTCCCCTCATGGCCCACTCCATGAGAGCACGGGCCTCCTCTGCAGCGTTCATGGCTCAGGTCCTGATCCTGGACATCTGCAGGGCCGCCACGTGGTCCTCTGTCCACTTCGCTAACCATTAGGCACTGACACATCAGGCAAGGGAGGATGCTGCCCTGGGTAGGGCCGTCCTCCACTCAGTGGAAGTTAGAACTGATGCGCCTCCTGGGGTTTCTGCTTTGGAGTCACCTACATGGAATGGATGTGAGCAATCACTTGAAGGAAGGACGGTTACCGGCCTCGTAACTGTTCTTCGAGATGTGTTGCTCGTGTCCATTCCAAATCCCACCCTCCTCCCTTTCCTCACAGTAGTCCGGTAAGAAGGAACCGAGGGGTGGAAGGCCAGCAAGGGTATATGTTGTCCTGTATACTGGCGCCACTCCCAGGGACTTCCCTGCTGGCCCAACAGGTACTGCTAAGGGAGGAATTTCCGATGCAAGCACGCTGCGTGCACACCTACATGGAATGGACATGAGCAGCACATCTTGAAGAACAACAGTTACGAGGTAGGTAACGGTTCTTTCAAAGTCCCTTTCTAACATGATGTAAGTTTTGAGTGAAGATATGTTCAGCTAACTTGGGCCAAGTTTTCTTCAAGAATTTGTGGTGTTACTGTTCCTTAACTGAGAGGCTCGGCTCTGTTGTCTGTCTTGGCTTGCAAACTAGTGGCAAATTCAATAATTGGAGTAAAGATGCTTTAAAATATCGCTGCACATCCCGTTGGCTGCAGATAAGGAACTGAAGACAGGTTTTTCTTTGCATTAATGATGGATGCTTCGTTGTCAGGCAAGACTCTTTGATGAACCCCAGCTGGCTAGCCTCTGCCTAGAGAACATAGACAAGAACACATCAGATGCCATCAATGCTGAGGGATTCACCGACATTGACTTAGGTAAGCTTTTTCCTTTCCACACACTCTTGTTGCAAGCTTGATTTTTAGGCTGCACCAGTTTCTTGGCAATTTCTCCTGGTGGTTTGGCCCTAGCGGTCTAGGAGCAACTTCTCAAGTGCTGGAACTGACCGTCCCTGGGCATAAGCATCTAGGAAAGGAGGATTTTCAGCAGAAGTCTTAGAAGTAGGCTCTGGCATTCACTCCCCTTAGCGCTGTGACACTTCGGGCAGGTTACAGTCCTATCCCTTCTCTTGCTGTTGGCCGGTGGAGGATGGGAGGAGTCGGCAGTGTCTTGACTTGAGGCAAGTGTTAGATGTTAAATATTAAGTCCAGGGACATTATTGTGGGCACGTATCGTAAATTAAACTGAAGTCAAAATATTCACTTTCCCTTCAAACTTTTTGGCTCTTGCTTGCATTCAAGTTTGAGTTGTAGGTAACCAGAAACTCCTTTGACTGCACATCTGTCAGTGTACCTGCTCTGTGGGCGCTGTGTGCTGCCCACTTGTGAATGCAGGTTTGCTCATCAGTTGTAGGCATACAGTTTTCAGGAGCAGCCCCCTAGTTCTGAATTCCTCCTCCTTTCCTCACCTGGGGATTCTGCGTTGGGAACTTTGGCCGCTTAAAATCAGGACTTGTTGGTTAGTGCCTAAAGTTGTTGCTGTCCTGCCTTACAGACACCCTGGTTGCGGTGCTGGAGCGGGACACCTTGGGGATTCGGGAGGTGCGTTTGTTTAATGCAGTGGTTCGCTGGTCGGAGGCAGAGTGTCAGCGGCAGCAGCTTCAGGTGATTCCAGAGAACAAGCGGAAAGCACTGGGCAAGGCACTTTCTCTTATTCGCTTCCCATTGATGACTATTGAGGAGTTTGCAGCAGGTAACTGAACCATGGTGCTTCTGGCAGACACAGTCTGAATAGAGGGTCGAGGATGTTTTTTCAGAGACTATCCTGTACTGTTCCTAATACTGGTCAGATGCTTTTTGTTGGACACTAAAATATATCCCACCATTTTTCAGTAATTCAGTTATAAATGTCCCATGGGGAAGCTATGAACAGTAGTTTTCTAAAAGTTAAAACCTGTTACTCTGCATATTTATCAAGATGCTTTATTCCTAGTGTATGAAAAATGCCATAACGTGGTATCTCGATAGGATTTTCGTGTTCCTTCAAAGAGTGGACAAAGTGCTAGCATTTAACATGTAATGTGGTAGAAATGGCATTGTATCCTACTCCTGAAGGTGACCTACAAATGGAGAGGGCATTGTAAGCTGTTCACGCTTTCATTGCAAAGAAACACGATCCCTTTTCTGCTTCCTCTGAGCTATAGAAGGACCAGGAATATCTAGTGGCGTTGTCCCCGTTTTGCTAATGGGCGCTCCTGAGTAGACACCTGGAATGGAAGCTTTCTCAGCCTTCGCTTGAAGGGAGCGAGGTGTTCGATATTTCACAAATAACACTGTCCCCAAGCCGCCATCAAGCACGCGAGTTATAAGAGGTTCTCTTGGTTTAAACTGTCTGACTAAAAATCGTCCTTTCTTACCTGCCCAGGTGTCTCTTGCGATTTCTTCTCTGTTTCTCTCGTCCTCCAGGCAGGGCTGTCCTTGGGAGGGACGGGGGGCCTGGGGCAATCCTCCCCTCTCGTGGCCCCCCTCTCCCAGCTCACTGCCACCCTGTACCAGGCCACTCCTCCCTGGCAATCCCCCATTTTGCCCTGGGACTTGTTCACAGAAGGGTTGAGGGGGTCACTTTTAAGGAAGGAGCGGCTTCCATTCCTCAAGAGTGAATTTTGACTCCTGTGAAATAAGAGAAATGTAGTTGGTAAGCACAATATCCAAGCAAGTGTGTAACGTACATTTAAAGAGATGGGTAAACTCAGTCAGGAGTAACTGCCATGCTGTCTGTCAAAGTGACGTGGACGTTGTCTGATGTGCCAAACCTCTCTTGGTCAGAGCCAGTCCATTCTCACTCAGTGATGTAGTCCTGCATACATACTGGGTGTAGTTAATGGCTTTCCTCCACGTGAACATCCAAGATCCCAATGCCTTGGTGCAGGATTATTGCATAAGTTCCAAATCTGATGTAGCATCTCCTGTGATTAAAGAAAGCATGTTTCCTCCTGACCGTGTCAAGATTCTCAGACAAATCCACCAATTTCTGCCTGTTATGTCTTTTCTTTCTGGAAGATGCTGGGTTTTTCCTCCCCTGCAAAGTTTGACAAGCTTTGCAGGTTTTAGTGTTCCAGGGTGAGAAGTTTAACTCTAGGAAAAGCCAGGATCTCTGTTCTGGGACTGCTTGTTTGACTGTTGACTATCTTGCATCAGATGTTCTTTTAGTGTCCTTTTCAGTCTTTTTAAATATTTTAACAATTTCTACCTTTGTCCTCTAAATTAACATTGTTAAAGCAAGGCCTCTTCTGTCAGTCACGGTGGAGGAGGGAAAATGGAACTGGTAGTCTACATGTTGGGAGGGTTTTGGAAGCTGTTGCTTTCTACAAAACCAGCTTATCATTTAGTACAGAAAATGGAGCTGTACATAAATGCCTTTGGCTGGCTAGCAGACCAGGCATGTCCACATCCCCTTAGGAACATTCCAGAACTAGGAATCGCAGCAACACATGATCTGTTTAGACATGATCTGTGGACTAATTTTTTTGCTGATCTAGGTGTCTGTAAATGCTCACAATATGTCTCTTGTCAAGAGTCATCTTAGAGTTGATTTTCAAGGCTAGTTAAAGGGGCACGGTTAATTTGAAAATCACTGAATGTGAATAATCATCGTTGCAAATAACACTTAAGATTAACTGTAAAAGAGATGAAGATTTTTTTGTTTATGCATTTGACAGCAACTCTGTGTGTGATCAACTTGATTATCGTTTCTCCCTCAGACAGAAGTCTCTTTTAAACATGAGATCAGAAAACCTATTTCTGCAAGGAATTAGTCTCTAGATTAAAAGGGGGGTTTAAAAACTGGAACTTATCAGTTAATTAATGGGGAAAAAAAGCTGCAGTTGAGTGTCCATTTAGAAGGAATACCTAAGATGACTCTTACAAGATAGGAGGGTTATTTTAGCTTATGTAGCACTCTGTTTAATGCTCATCCCTTCTGTTTCTCTCTCAAAAAGATGCAACAGGCAGAGAGATGGTTTTTTTTTTTTTTTTTTTTTTTTTTAAAATGTGGGGATGGAATCTCACCATTGGCAGGGAGGGCTCGGGTGTAGGTGACATTGCCTGAAACCGTGTCCATCCCAACACTTAAAGTTCCGGCACTAATCTGGCTTTCACACTGCCAGCATATTTTTAACATCTGCGTCTTCCTGCTGTACTTATCCCACTACCTTGTTCCTTCTCGGGTTTTACACAGCAGTGGTACTACACTACATGGGTGTAGAATTTGTGATTGTCACATACAATATAGACACAAATATTTCAAAAGGGAAGCTAGCTGCATGCAGCTGATATTCTCTTAAATGAATGGTAGAATTCAGGCAAACTGAATAAATGAACAGCCTCGTGGCTCGGTGGACCTCTGCACGGATTATACAAGGCAGGCGAGATGCTGATGGTAGAGTCCGTGAGTTGATGTGCAAGTTGAAAGTGGCTCCGTGTGCTGTGAAAAGGAGGTGTCCTGTGGCACCTGAAAGATGGACAGATTCATTTGGGCATCTGCTTTCGTGGGTCTAACCTGCTTGGTCAGATGCATCAGCTGGCTCACTTGCCTGGGGGAATTGAAATGTGTGTGGGATTCCTTGTATACGTGGTGTGGGGAGCGTCGGCCTGAGTTCTCAGCAGAAATTGGCTTTCCATTGCAGCAGTTTGTGCTTATTTGTATTAAGCGCTGATGGTATCTGTGACCTGTCTGCTCCTTTGCAGGGCCTGCCCAGTCAGGGATTCTGACTGACCGGGAAGTGGTTAGCCTGTTCCTCCACTTCACTGTCAATCCAAAGCCCCGAGTGGAATTCATCGACAGACCGCGCTGCTGCCTGAGGGGGAAGGAGTGCAGCATCAATCGTTTCCAGCAGGTGGAGAGCCGCTGGGGGTACAGCGGGACTAGCGACAGGATCAGGTGAGTTCTGCTGCCTGACTCTTAATGTTTTGTGAGCTTGAGCTTGGGGTGGGCCTAGGCCTGGCCCACGTGCAAATGTTACACCAGTAACGTGTAAGGTGAGGATGTGGCTTTGTACTGGTAGGCGCCCTCGCACGCGTAAGCTCATTGATGCTTGTATAACTATGCCCATGCTGCGGGGGGGGGGAGGTGTTTGCTGCTTTAATCTCACCTGTGTAGCTTAAAATGCTGCCTTGGAATCCCAGGGCAGGCAGAGACCTCAGGAGTCATCGAGTCCAGTCCCCTGCTCTAGGCAGGACCAACCCAACTCAATTATCCCAGCCAGGGCTGTGTCAAGCTGAGACTTAAAACCTCTAGGGATGGAGATTCCACCCACTCCCTAGGGAACCCAGCCCAGTGCTTCACCACTCTCCTAGAGAAAGAATTTGTCCTAATACCCAACCTAGACCTCCCACTGCAACTTCCCCTACTAGTTCCTCCCTGTTTGTGAGCAGATGTCAAGCTGCGCATGGCCCCTGGTCGGTTCCTTCAGCACTTGTATTAGGAAGTTATCCCCAACATTCTCCAAAAACTTCCTGGATTGTCTGTGTACTGCTGTATTGGTCTCCCGACACATGTCCTCCATGAGATCTGGAAGCTTCTTTCAGTTGGCTAAAGAAAACCTCGTCTACCTTATCCACCTGACCCGGTGGTCTATAGCTGACACCAACCACAACATCACCCGTTGCTCCTGCCTCTAAACTTAACCCAAAGACTCTCAACAGGTTTTTCTCCTGCTATATGCTGTAGCTCTGAGCAATCCTACCGCTTTCTTACATACAATGCAACTCCTCCTCCTTTCCTCCCCTGGCTGTTCTTCCTGAACAGCTTATACCAGTGGTCCCCAACGCGGTGCCCACGGGCACCATGGCGCCTGCCGGGGCATTTGTGTGCGCCCGCCGACAACCTGGGCTGGCCCTGCCCCCGGCGCACTGGAGGTGCTGGCCCCAGGCGTGCAACACGCACCG